CTCCCAGAATTCCTCAGCCAGCTTTGCTGGCTGAGGAATTCTGGGAGTTGAAGTCCACAAGTCTTAAAGTTGCCAAGGTTGGACACCCCTGATTTAGACCTTCAGAGTCCTTGTTGCAGCCCTTCTGGAATACCCACTCAAGAAAGAAGGGAAGCAAGGACACCCGGGAAGGCCCGGGGTGAGCCTCCCCTGGAAGGAGTAGAGCTAAGTCACGCAACCTGCAGGGAAACGTCCCCTGATAAGGACCTCTTGGCTTGGATCAAATTCCTGAGATGCGCTGACTTTCCAGGGAAATTGCTGAGCTCAGAAGGCCACAGAGAAAAATCTCACTGGAAAGCAGCAGAGATCTTAAAGTATATGTCGAGTTGCTGTAGGTGGGAGAAATGCACGTATCCATACATACAGCTCAGCTATCACTAATTTGCCTTAATGATTTTGAAGTGGAAATCAAAGAATGAGGCAAATGAGAAAGTGATACAATATCATCTACCTTTTTCTCAGCCTGCCTTTGCAGAAGTATTTCGCAAACTAGACTGGTCAAAATATGGAATAAAAATCAATGCTACCTATTTAAATCACAGATTTGCAGATGATGTTGTTCTCTTCTCACAAGACCCAGAAGAGCTACAAAGACACCTACAAGAGCTGCACAAAGCAGGAGAACAATTCGGCTTACAAATAAACCTGAAAAAGAGCCAGGTTATGTTTAATAAATTCACCAAAGAAAGGGGAAAAAGGTATATCTGGTGAAGAATTAGATATAGTACATGCTATATACTTTGACCAGCAGATCTCAATGGAAGGTGGAACAATAATTTAGGAAACTCTTAAATGTGGTTGGGAGGCATTTGGCAAGCTAAGTGTAGTTTTCAAGAACAAGTTCCCCCTGCGCTTGAAAAGCTTTCAACCAGTGGGTGCTACCTGCTCTAACCTATGTCAGTGAAACATGGGCATGAACCTCACAATGGATGCAAAAGCTAGGAGTGGCACAAAGAGCCATGGAAAGATACAAGCTCGGCATCACAAGACAAAGATAGGAAGACCTGCACAGAGAACAAATGAAAATATACGATGCCATCAAGAGAGAAAAAGAATTGAAATGGAAACGGGCCGGTCACAGAGCAAGAAGAACGGAGGGTAGGTGGACCAAGGCAGTCACAAAATGGATCCCGCTTGGTAAAAAGTGCCCACAAGAGAGACCTAAAACAAGACGGATCAACGACATCAGCAAATATGGTGGGCCCAAGTGGCAAAAGGGAGCTCAGGACCGTACTGGTTGGAAACATGCAGAAGAGGCCTTCATCCTGCAGTGGATAAACCATGGCTAGAATGAGGAGGAGGAGGAGGAGGAATCAGCACAGCATTATCCAAGTATTTTCAGTCTCACCTGTTTTGAAGTACCCTGGAAAAATCACGCTCACCCTGATCCCCCAGGGAGCAAGTTCGCAGTGGAAGGTGTCCATCAGAAGGCTGAGAGCTGCTTTGGAGGTCCCGTAGCTGGCCAAGCAGGGGTAGGGCATATTGCCTGGGGGGACACAAATAAGCCTTACTGCGCCTCTCCTCGGCCCTCTCCACGGCTTCAAGGCCCCCAGCAGCAGTGCCTCCTCCCCAGAGGACTCCACGGGTTACTGTTACTGGGGAGCACCTGTGAATGGATCAGACCAAAATGGCCAGCAACTTCAACTGCAGTTGCATAGGGGGCAAAGCTTGGCACAAGGGCCTCGGTTCACACAATGCACCAGACCAGCTATTG